TGTGGAGTTACCACCAGAGAAAGCCTTGATTCTCAGAGTCTGCGATTAGTAATGTCTACAGGGGATATAAAGGCAGTCCTTAAGACGCAGAAGTTTGAGCTTTCAAGTGATTGTGACGATGGATTCGTCGCGGTGCATTCGGCTGCAGCTCAATCAAAGTGCGAAAACGCGTGCTTGAAGGTCGTTCTGAGAACTTTATCTGGCCGCAGATTACCAGCACCGCTTACGGCTGGAACAGCATCAATTAATCAGTGGCCTCCATTAGTAATGACTTTCAACGAAACAGATTATAGACTAGAACGTTGTTCAATATTTTACTCACAAACCACAAAACGCGACGTCGGATTAGGCGGGTGCTCGCTCTCACATCTAGTCCGTAGTGCCAACCTCCCTTCTTATACCCTTTTGCATGCTAGTACAACTTCCAGCCAAGTTTTCGACTAAAGGAAGGCCGAATCCCACTCGATATAAGCGTGAACAATGTCAGGGCGATCTTGCTCAAAGTAAAAAAATTAATGAATTCTCGAAGTGAAGGTAACATTTCCATTTCAAGACGCATGAAAGGGAGCTTCACCTTGCTCACTGAGCCGACTCTCATGTGGCTAATTCTCGTGAGCTTTGCGGTTGTAAGTGTCTCTCACATGATCTCAACGTGATTCGACGCGGACATGCCTACAAAGCCATGCAGCTAAATCGATGGATGAAGTACTTTAAATGCTACTTAGAAGTCGAAAGCGGCATCTTCGCTAACGAGCAAGTTCTATACATGGCGTACCGGGATGTGTTCACATTCATTCGAGGTATCCAATACTTAAGCTCTATCTAATTACGAATGTAAGGAGTCCAATGTTGTGAGTGGGCAACTTGAAGACTGTAAACATAGTATGTGTAGGTATATTAATAGCGTTCTTGTCGCCTAAACAAATGTATGTGTGTACGTCTACTTCTGTGAGTGGCTTTTATACATCCGGGCTATCATCCATAGCGGCGCCTGCATATCGCAAGGCGCTCGAGATGTAGTCGGTGATTTGCCAAAAGTAAATCCGGGCTGATATCAGCAAGTCGATCAGTATCGACAACTCTCCTACCCAGATTGGAATGCGTCGTGGAGCTTTCAACATTTCACAGAAAATGACCAAGCAATTCCCAAAATGGTGTACAGTCTACAGAGGTAAGTATGTCGTTTCTTGATGCAAACTCGACGAGCGAAGACATTTTGTTCTGTCACCGCGTTCGATCTGCACACGTACTCTGAAGGATGCCCTCTACGACGGAACTACCGCGTTTCGTCTGAACATCGATCTGCAAACTATACGTTTGGGTGGTGCCAAAAAGCTCTACCAAATATTGTTGTAAGCTCAGAGCCACAATTTGAGACAGTTGGTTGCAAAATACTTTATCGGGAAGCAGCTTGCCCGCATATCAATCGAAAACTGTGCCAAGCAAATGTCACAGGGCCGGTATTATCAGAAGCTTCTGAAAGAACGGTGAGAATGAAATCTCAGCACTCAGCCGAAATTGGCAAGTTATTTAATGACTACGAAGCATGTGTCGAGGGTTCACCCGCCAAACCATTAAGCAATTCTATATAATTGCTTCCCATATGTATATGCTGAAGTTCCAGCACAAGAGCGCTCACTAAGCTATACGTGATTTTTTTCAAACCAGAGGTCATTCAAAATGATGTATTCGCGGCAGTTACTACCACACGCTATGTGTCAAGTGCTTCCATTGGACAATCCAGATAGCCTTCGGGAGAGGAAAATCAATGTGAATAACCTTACGAATGCTAAGATAAATTGATAGGCCAGGACTTATTGCTACCCACAGATTTCTTACAGTTTAACTAATGTCGTATCTGAATTACACGCTGTTATGTAGCATCATCGACGCGCGGCATCACCATTGCGATTAGTAATCAGGGTCATGGCACTAAAACGTATCCGCCATCATATTAAGCCGACAGAGTTTTGTGTATTATCTTGGGGTATACTTGGCAAAGAAAGAGAATCATTTTGCCATTCTCTGCGACATGAGGCTATGATGTCGTCGATTAATTATCCGTATATATCACAATAGCTGAAGCCCTGTAAGTGATCCCTGAAGATGGCAAGGGCATACTTCTTGCGTATCGCTTGATGCCGTGAGCTCTGTTATTATTCTCTGCAGCTCCAAGCTGGCAAAATTAAAAATCGATTCTGCGTTCATTCCTATTGGCTTCTGTTTGAGGTAAATTATCGCTCACATTAAAGCCGAATCACAAGAAGGCGCATATTCGAGCCGGATTTCAAGGATTTAGAATATGATCATGAATAGAGGGTATCTAACAGATTTTATGACCGTTTCTTTCGACGCTCTAATCCCGTATGCTTGCACGACTTTGTTCGATATTATCGTCGAAGGAAGCCTGTGTGTATGCACAGTGGATCAATACGGCGAGTTTGAAGGTTTATACATTAGTAAGCCGTCGTGGATGACTTTCTTGTTGAGATAACCCCTAATTATCTCAACAAGAAAGTCATCCACGACGGATAAAAAATAAAACTAAAATAAAAAAAAAATTATTTTAGTTTTATTTTTTATTCTTTTATTTATCTTTTTTTCGTTTTTATTTATCTTTTTTTCTTAATTTATTTAATAATTAATCGTATTTTTAAAATTAAGGTAATTATTAATTTACGAAAATTTTATTATTTAAAAATGGTATTATATATTTAATAGCTATTCTTTTTATTATTTTTGATTTAGAAGCGGTTTTTATTTTTCCTT